CAAATTGTGTTAGTTCACTCAATGCTTATAGGTTGAAAAGAACTACTCATCTTTATTTTACATAAACAGTAAGTAATGATTTTTATTCCTCATTCAAAGAAGAAATCACCTGAATATGCATTTCTTGATTTTCTGTCTGAAATGAGCCAAGTCGTAAGTGTGTGAAAGTTGAAGCTTCGGTCAACTAAATGTTTACTGAAGAAGAAATGTCATGTTTTACTATTTGAAAAGATTACCAAGTGTGAGACTCCACGAAGTCTGGTCGACTGCAATAATCTTTTCTGTATGTTGAAAACAATCCTTGACTTTTGATAATAACTTACGTCAAAAAACCACACCTCTTTCTGGTACATCCACGAATCAGAAAGCTCTAAATTGAACCGGAAGTCGACCCAAATAAAATGTGGCAACTTCCCAGTTCATGTGAGAATGGAAAAGATTCCGAGAATGAAAAAGTTCTCAAGGAGTTCAGAAGAGAATTCAGTTATGGAGAGTTTTGGAGTCTGAGAAGATCTGAAAGAGTCTGAGAGCTGCTGACAATGAAGAGTCAGAGTTGCCGAGAATCCAGAGACGTTTTGGGATTATGATTCTGTTTGAACTAACCACGCACGACTCTCCAAGGATTTTAGCTGTTCTCAACGGAGACGCTGATATCAGTTGAAAAGGATTCTTACTGAGGTGATCGATCGTCAACAAGGTAACGGTTTCTTCTTCGACTAAAGTGTACCTGGGACAAGCTGAGATACCTGATGGGAGCGTGCAATTTCTGGTCAAACAGATTAAATTCCCTCACATATTCCTCTGTAAGATAAATCTCCAGTTCATCTTAAACTCACCTCTCTCTCATAAATCAGTACAGATATTTTTAGAAATATCTGAAGCAAAGTCCTCAAATCACCGCCGAGTGATTTGAAGTTCATTATTTGTGAAACTGTCTGTTATTATTTTCATATTTTGCCAAATTAATGTAAATGTTTGATGTTAAACTTTGATTCTGAAAATAAATGACTCCATTCATTTGATGGGTCAAAGATAATAACGTCTCTCGTTCGCATTTCTGTTAAATTCAATGCACGGCATTACACAGTCAGAAAAATGAAGAACTCGTGAATATTGTATGCATATATATTTCATATATTTGTCATACAACAAGTGACACGTACCTACGTGACTCACTACATGAGTAATAGTGAGATGAATTATGATGGTAATGTAGTGACATACATGATACAGCCACATAGTGCAGCAGCAATAAAAATATTAGTTATTACAGATGTGGCCTGGTGCAATGTTATTGTCAGGAGTTCAGTGTTATGATCAGGAGTTCAGTGTTATTGTCAGGAGATCAGTGTTATGATCAGGAGTTCAGTGTTATGATCAGGAGTTCACTGTTATTGTCAGGAGTTCAGTGTTATGATCAGGAGTACAGTGTTATGATCAGGAGTTCAGTGTTATGATCAGGAGTTCAGTGTT